CTGAGAATGTAACAAAGATACGCTCTTCGTGAAAACGAAATTCTGAGCTACTTTTACGCCGTTCCGTTCAATAGATTTTGTACACGTTCAAGGGTCCGAAATGCATGTGTCTCTTCGTGAAAACGCAAATGCAATCATCGAAATGTCTGCCCCTTGCATCATTAACCCTAAAGGGGCCGGGTTATTTTGACCATCTCTCAGCCGGGGGGGGCGCCCCCCCCCCCTAAGATCTCGGCCATCGAGTGACGAAAAATTTTGAAACTCAGCACTTGCATAGAGCAACTCTTCCTAAACATGCCCAAGAAATTTCATGACTATAGGTCAAAGGGTTTTGGAATTATGGCTAATTAATTATTCATATGTGTGAATGGCAATTCTGCTCGGTGTACACGACGTATATGCGAAAATTCAGTTTTAACTGCGCTTAGCGCCGGAAACTTTTTCGCTACGTGCCAACCCAAGGTCCGATTTTTATGTTTTTGGTATCAAAAGACGCGCAAAGCTCGAGGCTAAAAAGTCATAACAGCTCGGGTCGGTTTTTTAGAAGCTATCGCGGAAAATGTTGAGGGGGATTCCGCCCCCCCCCCCGGCCCCTTTAGGGTCAATGTAATTTGGAAATTAATGATGTTTTTCTAAAAAAAAAAAAAAACATGTCAAAATAGCGAAGTACAATGTTTTCAAGCAAAACAGTGAAAAATCGTATAAAATTGTAATTTTTGACATACGTGGAAGTGTCTCTTCGTGAAAACGGTGACGAATTGATCTATCGCCGTTTGCGAGTAAGCCACGCCCCGTAGACGACCCTACGGATTTTGTGCACGCTAAGTTTTGTTTGTCTCAGATGTTGCGCGTTCCGCGTCCATTTGTTTATCGTGTAATTGGACAATACTTCACAAGCTGCGTTGACGCGAATCTAACGAGATCCTACCGCGATATGTCAATTGACATAATACCATTGATGTCTATATTATACAGACTGGATTGGACATCGTGCCGTGTTTGTACACGAATGCGCGGCCGAACAATTGCGACGCGTTTACTTTCAGACGGGTAAACGCTCAATCTGCATTCACTTTGTTTGCATTGGAAATCGAAAGTGGATTATCGAGTGAGCTATTTTCTGACAGGAGGGAGTTGAAGCGTTCCCCCAAAAACAAATTATTCTAGAAAAAAAAAAGTGAACGATATGAGGAGTTACCTCAATCCTTTCAAACAGCTTTTCCACACTTTTTTGATATGCACTCTCTTTATACATTTTCGAAATGAACGAACGGTTTCCTTCTTCTTTCTTTTGGTATAAATCCCTCCTCCCAAAAATGATTATAAGTAAATTGCCATTTAATTTTTGCCACATTGGTCATTAGAGCACATTTAATTACTCAATCAATTAAATGAATAAATGTATTAATGATATGCTGAAATGTCATTATTTTTTTAAAATTAAACACTCACACGAAAAATTGTATCGAGATTCATTCAAATACTTGATGCATTTATTAAAAAACCCGAACATAAATCAATTAGTAATAGACAAGTCTTCTTCCCTTCCCCAGTTACAATCTGACAGATTGATCAGGGAATGACATCGTTCACCTACTGTGATATTGTGTGAAAGGAGACGAATCACAAACCAAAATAGTGCTTGACTAATTTTGTCAAAGAATAATAAAAAAAATAGTTGTTTAGCTGTACTTCTGAAGAAAACCAATAGAATGATGTGAAAGTGTAATGGGAATCGTTTTTGTGAGCAAATAGCTGTGCATTAGTAGCTAAAGCTAGACATTTTATATAATGGCGTATAGTTATTGTAATTTTAAACCTTAAAAGTACTCTTAAGTTATTGCTTTATTCACAATAGAAACTGATGTCAAATCTAATGTGACAGTCATCTTTGGAGTGCATTTGCGTTGAAATCCACAGCTTCTTTCCAAAAATAAAAATCATACAATCAATGTTAACAGTTCCACATCGCAGTCATTAAATTTAAGTAAGAATTGATCCAGTTAAAGTCAAACTCTGTGAGTGTGATGCCTATCACATCGCATGTTCAGTTCAGTGAATGATACAGTCGATTCCATCCCTCCGTAAAGTTCTCCATTTTCGTCTGTCTCAGACCCCGTCCTGCAGCTGGTGGTTCGTGCTTGTGGCTTTGTTTTGTTTGAAGGTCAATCGGAAGTTGTGCAATAACGCCTAAACCATCTCCTTGGTTTATCTTTATAAAGCAAACGAATGGGCACATTTCGTCAAGCTTTAATTAAGCCGAAGGCAGACATAATTCAAAATTTGCATATGAAAGTTATTCGAATACATTATTTGAAAAAGTCTCACCTCAATTTCTTTTCATTGCCATTGTCAGCTTAGTCGGTCACGTACGTCTTTAAAATAAAATGATGTCGACCAGCATGACAGGCCTAGATCGCATGGAACTTGAACAGAATATTTCGCTACCACACAGTAGGCATCGATCCCCTCAGAACGACAAAATTAACGATATTATAATTTGCTTTGTCATTCCCAGCAGTAGACTCATATTGTAGGCCTATCGTTAACGAAGGCGGTTTACCGCTTCGTTAAAAGAAAATACTTACTAATTGTCCTATTCTTCAACGCTCCTTACTTCCCGACTCCAGCAATCTAATATACTGCGCACACCTTGAAAAATAATCCTCATCGATTTTGATCAATTTAGATCTCTGTTCCTTTTATTCTTTCAAAAATTATAAAGAAACCGAAGAAAATCCAACTGCTTTTGTTTTAATACTCCGTTCCAAAGTGTTACGGAGGACCATAAGTGGACAACCCATTTTCTCGAAAAATCTGCTTGAACAAAAACAGAATTATGGTTGAAATGAAGTCCTCTTTTTGAATTTTCATTTTTCTATTGTCAACAATTTGGATTTTTTGTTTTCTTGTACACAGGCGGTCCAAAAGTGGACAAACAAAATTTCCAAATTACAAGGCGCAGAAAATCAGAAACAGCGTTTACGTGCAAACCAAATTTCCGAATTTCTGCCAGCAGAAAAGCCGAAATTGCGTTTACGTCCAAACCGAATTTCCGAATTTATACTAGCAGAAAATCGGAAATTGCTTTTACGACCAAAGCAAATTTCCAAATTTCGACTAGCAGAAAATTGGAAATTGCGTTTATGACCAAAGCAAATTTCCGAATTACCACTTGCAGAAAATCGGAAATTGCGTTTATGACCAAAGCAAATTTCCAAATTTCTACTAGCAGAAAATCAGAAATTGCGTTTATGACCAAAGCAAATTTCCGAATTTCTATTAGCAGAAAAATGAACGTGTGATACCATCAACCAAATTTCATTTGTTTGTACTAGTAGAAAATCAAGATGGAGATTTTTTGGGGACTACTCCATAGGTCGTTTAGGGTGAGAAACCCTCATCTGAGTCGAGCAGGTCGATTGATTGTAATTGTGTGTGTACCAGACCGCGACCGTAATTGTGTTTGATGATCTAGCCAACAAAAGTCGGAATGACATAAAAGATATTCTTCTTTTTTTATAAGCCAACGTTAAGGGCGGATCCAGAACACCTTTTTTTCGGGGGGGGGGGGGGTAAAGAAAAAAATGTGGACCCTAAAAAGTGGGTCCCAATAAAAATTAATAAGGGCTTAACGGCCCCGAAACATTTTTTGGATTCTACATGCTCTGTGGTGCGATCTGATCACTTTAACAAAATCTTTTTGAGGAAAAGATGGTGGTGTGCGCATTGACTGCCTGTACTGCCACGTAATTTAAAGCAAAATTAACATTAAATTCGGTTTTTTTTGGTGGGGTGGGGGGGGGGGGCATGGCTCCCGTTGGCCCCCCCCCCCCTGCTTCCGCCCTTGGCAGACGCCAACTTGTTCTATTATTAGTAGCCTATATTTAGCGACTAACCAAACTTCAGCCGCGTTCGCTCTGGACTTTTTTGTAAGGAGACTGAAAACAACCCCTAGTTTGCTAAAGGTTTACTAAGATAAAAAATCATTAGTCAAGTTCCTCCGCTATATATCGTTTTTAAATATTAATTTTCTTTAAGGCCTATGAGAACACTTCTGCTGATGAGCGTTTCTTACCCAAACGACTAATGGAGTAGCCCAAAAAAATCGACACCTTGATTTTCAACTATAGTACAAACAATTGAAATTTGGTTCTTTTTTTTGCTAGTGGAAGTTCGGGAATTCGGTTTGGTCGCACAAGCATTTCCCGATTTTCTGCTAGCAGAAATTCGGAAATTTGGTTTAGACGTAAATGCTCTTTCCCATTTTTTCAAGTAAAAATACACAAATTTGGTTTGTCCACTTTTGGACCGCCTATGTACACCAAAATAAAAAATCTAAATTTTTGATAATAGAAAAATGAAAATTCAGAAAGAGGACTCCATTTCAACCATAATTCTGTTTTTGTTCTAGCAGATTTTTGAAAAATGGGTTGTCCACTTTTGGTCCTCCATAAAAGTGAACACAACACGAATGCAAAATGTTCTTCTTTACCCTTTTCAAAAAACACGTGCGTGGACGGCGTTCGGACGCACTGTCATATCCCGTCTGTATTATATGGAGATCAATGCATAAGACTTAGGCGCCAAGGTTTCACAGGACAGTAAATGAGTTATTTTATAACAATTTGACTTTTACGTTTTCGGATTTGGAAAGAGAAGAAACTAATTAACCATTGAAATTGGAAACAGCTAAATAGTGTTGGAATACTTCAACATCGCGAGCCATAACCACAGAAACACATAGACTGTAAAACAGGCGATCAGCAGCACCCGATTTCACGACGAATGAATTGTCCAATTCGAAAATCGCAACGCGTCGCAAATCGCAGGGCAAAGTCACAGGATTTAGGGGGTGTCCACAAAGAAATATATGCCCAGGGAACACGAATACGGATACACTTGTGACCAACCATATTTTTTCTTGTTTACCCATCCTATAAGGGTTGTAAAAAGTGCAAACAGAATACGACGGGACCATTATGGAGAGACCTGTAGCGGCGAGTTGTGAAATTTAATTTGGGTTTAATCATAGTTGTTATTTCAAAGTGTTTTCTAAACTTTAATTTATGATCACGCATACCTTTGATTGGAAATAAGTTTGTTGCGGTAAAACTGTTCATTAATTGTTCCCGTACTTTCGTAATAGCGCCCTCTTGTGATATGGTGCATTTTGTAAGGTCAAAGTGTAAATTCTTCATGATTCCGATGATTCGTAAACAATGAACGTGTACCAAATTTATCTCCCCAAATAAATGTAAAATTATCAGGTTTTTTAAGTCCAAATGTTGTAGTTTCGGATCCAGCACAATCGGTAAGCCTTGTTGATTTATTCATGGTTAAAATTTATCATATTCTGAGTGATTTAGTAAGATTAGTTGTAGCTTTTCAAAGTGAAGATTTATATGTTTTGGGGGTGTTTACTTACACGTACAGGGATAATGTACGTGTCACGCCCCAACTATCGCATTGGTCCCAACTATAGTTGGGCCGGTCCCAACTATAGTTGGGCCTGTCCCAACTGTAGTTCCACAGTTGGGCTGGCCCAACTATAGTTGGGCCTGTCCCAACTATAGTTGGGCCTGTCCCAACTATAGTTGGGCCTGTCCCAACTGTAGTTCCACAGTTGGGCTGGCCCAACTATAGTTGGGCCTGTCCCAACTATAGTTGGGCCTGTCCCAACTATAGTTGGGACGGTCCCAACTGTAAGACTGTTGGGCTGGCCCATCTATAGTTGGGCCACTCCGATCTTTTTATTTTACGGTGTCCCAACTATAGTTTACAATCCATTGATGTACAACTGTAAAACGTTCCCTACAGCTCTGATACACGTCTGACTTTACTGGGGACCACTGAAATTAGTTATTGATGGGGCGAATCTATAGTTGATGGGCCACTCCAATCTTTTTATGTTGCGGTCCCAACTATAGTGTACATTGTTGTACGATTGTAAAACATTCCCTACAACTCTAATACACATCTGACTTTACTTGGGACCAATGAAATTATCTATGGGTGGGGACCATCTGTAGTTGGGCCACCGCAATATTTTCATTTGGCGGTCCCAACTATAGTTTACATTGATGTACGACGACTATAAAACATTCCCTACAGCTCTGTTACATACTGTCCGACTTTACTTGGGACCTTTGACATTAGCTATGGGTGGGGCCCATCTATAGTTGGCCGGCCATGGCAATCTTTGAATTTTGCAAAATGTTGCTGGACAATCAACCCAGCAGCTGGACAATTAACTCATCCAACTAGGCAGTACCACGTGACCGGCCAGCCTTGCGGCATGCATGCACGACGAATACACGGTGCCAGCGCCGCGGAACATTTAATCCAACAAGATTTATCAAGCATGAAGCATCCGGCGCAACTCCAGTCCTAACTATAGTTGGGCCGACCCAACTGCCGCACTATAGTTGGGACAGTCCCAACTATAGTTGGGACCGATGCGATAGTTGAGGCGTGACATACGCACTATGTCAAGTGAAGGCTCAAGCTCAATTGCATATATATTTGACTAATTAATCTAATGGTTTATTATGTTTTTCTGTAATTGTTAATACTAAAGTTAAGTATTGTAATTTGGGTAATCCTTACTTTTAGGACCCCGTTCCTATATAGGAAGGGAAAGACTCACCAAAACAGTTGACTAAATGACACTCAAAATTGACATTCTGATACTTCTTGGCACATCTGAACAATTGCCAATGACACCTTCTTGACTTCTAAAGACTGCTTTAGCCTGCAAAAGTCACTTTGGTACTGGACAGACATCTGCTAAAGTCAGTTTTGAACAGAACTCGTAAAAAATAGAGGTGTCCTAAAAGTAAGGATTACCGTAATTTGTGTATTTGTGTAATTACAGTGAACCACCACCACCACCACCTCCATAAGAACCAAATACAGCAGCAATAAAGTACTACTGCCTCAGGGTGCGTTCAGAAAGGGACCGAATAAAAAACACTTGTGTAGCAAATGACGTTTGCAAGGCTACAGAGCAGAGGCCCAAAATACGATTTTAGCCGTTTCTAAAAAAATAAGCCCCCAAAATATCAGTTTTTTTGGAGCTGGAAGGCAAAAGTACCAGCTGTACAGTTTAAGAACACCGTTTTCGAATGTCCCAAGGTACCCTACAACAGAAAATAACATTAAGATTAATCATAACATTTTGCGATAAAATGGCCCTATCCCAGGGACTATATAGGGATTTTACACACACCCAAACTATCCCATTAAAAAAAATTCTATGAAGTTATTTTTTGATTGTGAAAAAAATCTCTCGTGTACTTCAACTTCATATGAATTAGGTAGATTAAAAAACAATAACGTGCACAACTTTTTTCAATCGGATTGTGAGTAAAACAACCTTTTTTTTAATTCAAAAATTTATGTTCTGTATGTAAATGTGTGTACTGTACTAAGAGCGTATCTGCATTGAACGTGCGTCGAGCAATTACGCACGCTGTCAACAAGCGTTTTGCCCATACTTTTTCAAATCGCGGTTTTACGCGCACGACTGGCGGTCTATGCGTTTACATGTCTGTGGTCATAACCCCATGTGACATGCACACTTTATGTGAAATGCACACTTTAATTTTCCATAATGCGTTTTAAACAACATTGCTACTAGTTAATTGAACATGTCAAGGTCTGTAGTGGATCAGGATCACTTGATTCTCAAAAAAATCAGATAAATTTATATTAATTATTTTAATCATTTTTTTTGTAGACAGCAGTAATTACTCGAAACACTTTCGGTTATCTGAATGATCTTATTCGAAATAAATTTTGTTTTCCAGATGACGTTGTTGCTATATCGAATCAGTGGGTGTGTGCTAATCCCGACAAGGTGATGGTTTACCATAGAGACACTACGCACAAGTGTGACTTCCACGTCGTGCCGGAGGATCAGGTTGGCACTGCAGACGATAGCCTGTACAGCGTGGCAATCATGCCGAATGGTAACATCATAGCGGGTCTCAAGAAAAAGGTATTGGTTGAGCTCGATCCCAGGAATGGTGAGATCCTACACACCATGCCAGTGAAGATAAAACCTTTCTTCTTGGCTGTACTGAGCAATGGTTGGATTGTGATCAGTGACAATCAGCAGGGACTAGTGGAGATAGTGGAGGTTTCTAATGGCAACGCTGTGACTGTTACCAGAATCCAGCCAACCATCGACGGTAAACCAGTGAGATACTGCAAGGGTGTATGCAGCAACAGCTCGGGTATCTACCTTGCAGTGAACACAGACAAGTACAACACCGGTCACATACACCACTATAACTGTGCCGGTCAGTTTGTCAGCTGCGTGGCCCAGAGACTGTACAGCCCCCAAGGAATGACATTCACAGCTGACGGGCAGCAGCTGGCAGTGGCTGACCGGCACTCTGTAAAAATGTATCACACGATGTAATGCCAACGATGTCATCCAGCATAAAAACCGCCTTCACTAACCCGCGTTTGTGGTCGGTTTAAAATCCCAACATGAACTTGAGGCGGCCTAGGGATAACACTTGAATATAAATAAATAAAAATAATAATAATAATAATAATAATAATAATAGTAAAATGAAAATGAAAATGTTTTCTGACTGGATTGACCTGAAATATACAAATGTAAAAACTTAAGGCGGCCTAACGTATGGATCTTAACAAGATCTTCTTCATCGATACGTCAGGCCGCCTTAATTTAAAAAAAAAAATTGAAATAACTCGGAAGGTGCAGGTGCTAATTAGCGGTTTAATAATGCGCACTACCTCAGTTGACGATTCTTCACGTCTCTCATTGCTTCCAAATTCATTAGATATTCCCAACACACCATTAAAAGTTTCAAGACATTGTCATCGTGAACGGTTACTTGAAGTTCCACATGTATGAATTCCTAATCGCACCTCACCTAAATCACACCCTCCCACATTCAAGTTGCGGTCTGAATGTCGATGCTCATGTCACGAAAGGAACATGTTACCCGGTGAATGTTCATTGATTGTGGCTTGTCCGTCACTATGATGACCGTAAAGGGAAAGTGAATTATGCTTACTGCAGATAGAATATGCACACACAAGTTGTAGTCTAGTTATGTCATAGGGGGTTTCAATTTCAAAAAATAAAAACCGAAAACGTAATAAGTCAAATTGTTATAAAATAACTTAGTATAGACGAATACTTGGGAGATAACAAAGACATTGGATATTTTGTTGTATATTTTGATATATTATGTTGATCTTATAACCCTTATATTCAAATAGACCGTGACTATACATAACGCTTGAAACATGTTAGAAATATTGATAGAAATGTGTGTAATCACGAATAGCCCAGTGATTAGATACGTAATCCGATCACTAAAAATAAATGCCGATTGTGATAAGTCCTTGTTTCCCACAATAACGGGCAAGATAACAGGGTTTTTTCCCCGCATTCAGCCATTATTCAGTCTGAGTTTTGACCACAGTCAGTACAAGTTTCACTTATATTAAATAATGCATTAAAAAGTGATTCAGACAATTATTTGTAACAGTACCCAAAACAACACAACCAACACAATTTTGATATTCCTGTTACTTTTAAAGGATAGTTATTAAGGGCCAGCACACTGCTAGACACAGCATTTCAAAGTAGCCATGGCAAGGCCTCAGTTTATTGCTGTCCAATTGGCATTTATGGTCAGAACATTTTATTAAGCAGGTAGCACGGTACAAGACACGATACGTCAATTTAGAGAACACTTTAATTTCCAGAGGTACAGCATCCTAAGTGAACTGGTGTATGTAGCATTCTTATCAATTTCAATTGACTTGTCTAAGAAAGATAACAAACAGGGAAGGTCAAGGTGTTGTACATTACGTAAACATTTGGATTGAGTTCACCTTGGGCAATGGATTTTCCTTTTATTTTGTAGGAGTTTAGATAACTTAACGATAGTGTTAAAGACATAGTTTAGTGTCGAGAAATTTACTCCATGTATATACATTGATCTTAAACCTTTGTTCCTTTTTGGTTCTTTTATATAGGTTGTTAATGCCCGATTGTTAATGCCCCATTGTGGTATTTTTTTTGTTACTGTTTCTTGCAAACTGCATTGGCTTTAACTTGTAACTCGTAACTTGTAGTCTCCGTTTAATTGTTCCCATTATGTTCGGTATATTTTCAGTCTCTGTTTCTAGGTTAAAGATTGACGTTCCTGGTTTAAGGTCCAGGCATGCAACTTAGAATGAAAAAACCAGGAAACTACAATCTTAAAAAGACCTTGTACAGTGATTTTCAATTTTTAATGGCATAAGTATGAAGTGAACAACAAGGAAATGGGCTTATCCGGGAAATGTTGCATGCCTGAATGTCCTTTGTTCATCCTCATTGGTGGCCATAAGTGCTCGGTTGTTGACGATTTATTCATCCTTTCTCTTGAATTTCGAAACTTGTTTTATATTTAGCTCTGGTCTTAAATTCAGGATTCTGTAAGGTTGATTTGTTTGCCAGAAATCTTGATTAATTTTAGTATTAGCTCTTACTTAAATCATTTACTTTTGTTTGGTTGACTTCAAATAAATAGTTTTCTTTGGTTCGTTTCTCAGAAATATAATTTGTTTTCCCTGTCTCTGTTCTAGAATTATCCTGCGTTTTCTCTTCACCCGTTCTTGGTTTAGATTGAACTTTTGTTTAGATTTATTTAATGTTGGAGTTCCCACTGTGTCACTTTTCGGGGCTACATAAGCACCACATTCCACTACAAGTGACAAAACAACAAAGCACTACATGTATATTCACAGGACCTACAGTTTAAGCCTAGAAATTCACACATCAGAATTGTCAAACAAATAATATTTACACAGAAAACGAAATGTAGTTTTTCGAATGAGCCTTTAATTTAACTTTGTAACAGGTATTACAAAAATATATCTTGAAATGCAAAACTTCAGCAAAAGTGATCGGTACAACAGGTTGAAGACACCTGTACACATGACAAATCAATTCATGTTTGTTTGTTTGGCACAGTGTAGAAGACGAGAATATAATTAACGGTTTCTGGTTCCAGATAAGCTGAAAATCAGCGAGGTAGGCCTACTCATTATTTGGCTTTCTAGATATTTCGAGAACAGGCTACACAACCGAAGGAACATGAAATAGCAGTAGAGTTGACGTCATCAAGTCGACACAAGTGGGTTCCTATCCTGTCTTACGTGACAAGATATTCATCTTATCTGTGGCTAAAGGCCTTTCTGCACTATCGTGTCCGCTACCCATGTTGTATTCAACAGGTGCACCATAATCAGAACCAGGTTCCACTGACCACAGGTTAGCAAAGGCATACCGTTCACACTTACACCGGTGTGTACATAGGTCTGTTGAAGATTTGGATTTTCTATCTAGGTACAGCCTCTCAACCCTGGTTGCGGCTGCGAAATTTCTTTTTCCAAACGAGATCAGACAATATCAAAAGAGGGCTCTCTCTCTGCATTATGCATATTCATGATGTCCAGGGATATTAGAGAATAACTTATATAACTAACGATTGGCAGCTCATTCGTGGACTGGTTGAAAAAGCTCTCATTGGATTGTACACGTTTTCAATCGAGGCCGTCCTCGATTTGGTTCCTGTCCTCAATTCTATTTGATTTTGCAAGTGTGTCCTCGATTTACACCATAAACGAACGCCACTGATTACTAGCGCCCATTGGATAAATGCTCAAGTTGAGTTAACTTCCGGTTCCAGTGGTTCCAATTCTACTTGGCCAGTGGGCATGGTTTAAACTGAACTGACGTCACACTAACGAACCTGCTACGTATTCCTTTGTTGTCAAGGAAAAAGTATCTGGAGATATCATCATGCCAAACTTAGCAAACTCACAAATTGGCAGTCAGGCAACCGAAGGCATTGTCCAAAAACAAATGGCTATCCCTGGACACATGTGGCAATTGGCAGTGGCACCCATGCGATTCAGATGCAGTGTAACTTTGCCAAGTTTGAATTGAAATAACTCAAGTTTCTCAAACAACAAGCCTGCCAAATTTGACGACAAGTTGACGTCGTTCACAATGAATCACCACCTGATCGTGAGTAAAACGCCACAATTTCTGAAGTTCCAAAGATTGCGAGATTTTTTCCAGGCACTGTGGATTGTGGAACAAGCTGATCGTAGGAACTCATGATCGCATAAAACCCCGACAAAAATAGAGATACAAAACTACCTGCATAATTAATGGAAGAGTTGGTATTAATACTGCTACCCTCAATCGGGAAATGCTGAGTGTTGTGACCTTTGACCCAGCTGGGTCAGACCATTCAGACAAAAGGGGAGAGCAGGGGTACTTTGGTGGTGATGTGCGCCAGCTTTCCTTTTATCTTGAGGAAGTGTCGCTTGAACTCGATACCATCACCCTAAAAAGTGGAAGAAGGTTTTGGAAATAAAGACGATTCAGTGTTTCGAATTAGACTTTGGGAAAATGTCCAACAAAAACAACCATGATGGGAAACTGACTAAATAGGTTCCCTTTTAATTGAAAGTAAACATTAAAGCAACATTCAGCACATGAACCATACCACACAATTCTCCAGGTTGTGTTGCAAAATACGTTTGTTAATAAACTTGCAATCCTATTTCCCGCAAATATGCATAACCAAAGGTTTCCCGGGTGCTAAATTATGGCCACTTATATGTGGTTCACAAAAAAGCTCTGCATCAAAAACTACTGTCCTGAATCGAGAATTCTTGGTTTCATATTCCGCTTTTTTTTGGGGGGGAGGGGTCTTACCCTGTATAGGCTACTTAAAATACAAAATCGGCGCCCAAGTTGAAATATAGGCACTCCAGTGACATAATAAAGACCGGAACCGTGAATGTATTACCTTTGATAGTCTGAAGTCTACAAGTACTTTGTCGTCCATCTCGTGCAGGTGAGCTTTGAAGATCAGCGGGTTCTTTCGTCGATCCAGAGATGTGATTGTGACCTGTGTCAAACAAAAACACAAAAAGCACTCAGTCACACAAAATCAACAAGTCAATCTGGGCGATTCGAGGTTAGAGCCGAATAGAATTCCAAATTTGAAATCAGAATCTGTCTTTAAGCAGTGAAAAAATAAAGACTTCAAGTCTGCCACGAGCCAATGTGGGCCATCAAGCCGGCATTTATCTCCGGTTTCAGTAGCATGCAACGACTGAGAATATTTCCACTCCCCCTGGATGGGATGCTAGTCCATCGCAGGTTGCTCCCCAGCTAATGCCAGTACCCATTTATACTCCTGGGTGGAGAGAGGCATGTGGGGTGGCTTGCCCAAGGACACAACATATGGCCAGCAGCTGGATTCGAACCCCTCGCCATCTGATCATGAGTCACGAACCCTAACAACTAGGCCACACTCCCCACTCAGCAGGCATTGTCCAATAAGTATTCTTTTAGTTATACAGGCTAACATATCTGACCTGTCTTGCCGTTGTCGTTTTCCAGCTGTAGCCCATCTTCTCTAGTACGGCGGTGAGTTTCTTGATGGTTTCGTCGGGGCTAAGTTTGGTGAAAACCCTGGTCATGCGCTTAACTAGTCTCTGCATAGGTGTCTGTCGGGACAATGGGAAAGAACAAAAACAAAGTAATTATAGAAACTAAACAACAAAAAACATTGCTGCTTGTGTTGGTCTTTAACCTTTTTACTATTATGAGGAAACCAAAATAGAGCGCATCCCAAAATACCGGCATTTTTTTTTCGCGAGGCTCTAGCATTGGCACAGAGACACGTACATGCACCGCCATTATTGTTACACCATTTTAAAGCTTGGAATCTTAACTTTATCCCTAGCGACTATAAGGTTGATATGGTCAGCTTGAATGAAGTGGTACTATTTGAATACAAAAGGTTGTGATTAAAATTTGGTCTTGAACTTAACTCTTTATGTCTTTTTTTTTTGTTCTGTTCTCATTTATCAAACTGAAAGCCATTTCGACACAAGACAAAATGGCACTCCATACCTGAAATCGTGCATGGATACTTCTGAAGCATTTATCTCCATTTGTTGTAACATTACCTTGAAGAAACTACATAATAGAACAATCTGAAAACACTCTTGCAGCCTATGTAAGGTTGATGTATGGTCAGCAAAACACAAAAACATGCTAGCTTGTTGAAAAGCAGTGAATTAAATCTGTGTTGAGGGTGTTTGGCGTGTGGTTTCCTGGTCAACTTAAGTCACCTATGGCTAGCAGCAGGGGGTGGTTTCTTGTCGACAAAAGTCGTCCATAGTAAGGATAGGGTTAAAAATCCACCTAAACCTGGACGGTTCGTTCCTGGGGGATATCCATTGGGATGGATCGACTTAAGTCACCTATGGCTAGCAGCAGGGGGTGGTTTCTAATCGACAAAAGATGTCCTAGAAAGGAGAGGGTTAAAAATCCACCTGAACCTGGACTGTCCGTTCTTGAGGGATATCCAGCAAAGTTGTTGACTCACCTGTGAGCTACCGGGCGTTGACTGTATCTGACTACTCAGCAGCAAGGAGTCAATGTGGACCGGCTGTGAGAAGCTGACACCAAGGATTAACTTCTCCACGGATTCTTTGGTGGTTTCTGGTGTGGGCATGTCATGGACGGCGTGCGGTATGGGCTGGGAGCTGGAGAACATGGCCGAGTTCTCTCTGTATTGATTTCACAAACGGGGAAGACATGAAAAGGGGGAGGATTGTAAAATGGAAAACATTTATGACTATAGACCTTTATCATGCTGCCACCATTTTCAGTCATGTTCCCTGTATCCAACAAGGTACTGAATGATAATGTTTTGGTGCACAACGGTACCAGACTATTTTTCCTTCCAGCCTCGCTTTGGTTACGTTGACTTGAATTGGAAAAATCCAAATGACTGCAACATGATAATGGTCTATTGGTCAAAGGTTTTCTATTCAAAACTGCAAGTGGAATAATTGTGAGTTGCTTTTTTACCAGAAAGATGAAGTAACAATTAACAAGGGATGAATGAGGACAAAGAGCATTTCAAATGAATAGATGGTCATCGTCTAGAGATTTGGAGGACATGTGATTGAAAGTGCCCAGCGTGAGTGTGAACGTGAATGCAAATTTGTGACATCAAGGCATATTTCCGTGCTGTGCATTTGCAAAAACTTAACAGATTTCAACTCCAGCAAATTTCAAAGTGAATGTTTGGTGATGTCAAATTCGCTTTGCATTCGCATTCACGAGATTCACGAGATTTATGAAACAGCCTTTACAAGGACTGAATTACAGTTCTGTATCAAACTTTTGTCCAAAATGCTTAAGATGAAGAATAAAATTGGGCTGCTGTGTTTACCAGCACGATCTTGAGTTAAGAAGCATTAAATTTATTCCCGAAGAACGTTTTCTTGAAATCACATTTTCATTTCTCTTTTCCACAATATTTTTTGTTTTGTTTTGTTTTGTTTCACTAGTTTGTGCTTAACAGGATCAAGCTGTACATAGACACAAATTATAGCCAAATATTTTCTCGAGGTTGCAGTGCTTGTGACATTTTGACAGTAAAAGGCAAACAACTAACAGTACTCTGCACTCTTACCTTCTGATAGATGACGTAGGTGAAAGGTCATTGCCTGAGCAGACACGCTTGAATGAACCGGAACTTGTTGGTGAACTGGATGGGGGTCTGTGAGGCCAAGCTGGGAAGAAACCACCAAAATGTTTTGCAATAAAGTAGTAAACCAGAATATTGCAGAATTGTCGTGAAGTCCATTACATGTGATTATTAAAACAAGCCAGTCACAAATCACACCACGAAACCAAGACAATCCTTAACCCTAACCACCCCAACTCCATCAAAATCCATCCCCAATTTTGGTGGATTTTGGGGGGCTTGGTCCAGAAGGCCTGGCGTGACTAAACATTGATGGAGTATGATGGACTTTGGCCTAATGGCCTGAAGCAGTGCTAGGGGTATCTGATTGATTTTGGCTAGCTTCCTGTACTACTATTGTGATAAAAGCCATGTTTAGCAAGTCCATATTGCGTCAGTGGTGGATTCCATTATGTCAGGTACAGTTTTATACTTGAAGCACAGTGATTGATGGATTTTGATGGACAGATCCTAGTAAAAGACGCTAGGGAGTTAGGGTCAACAGCCGTGTTACAAGTCTACCAATTAGCTATTTACGTGTCAGACCACGAATCGAATCACAAGTCTGTCGCAAGTCATACTACATGTCAATTACAAGTCAAGTCACTAGCAAGATCTCTAGCAACTGGAGATGAAACCTTTGTTGCAGTTAATTTGTGATTTGACTTGTGATTTGACTCAAGATGACTTAACAACTCTAGAATATTGACATCCATTTCTTTGTTAGTGACTGGTTTTACATCAATGATTTAACCCAGACGAAGATGTTAGAATGCTTATAACAATTTTTGAATGGCAATCAGCCTGCTAAAGCAGCTTTTCTCTTTGTCAAAAAAAAAAACATTTTCAAGGACTGCGCAGCAACAACCAGAAAAAAAATTAACAACCAACCCCTCCCTCCGTAATGATAATTGTTGGCTTTGAATGACACGATCTATCATTTGTTTCAGCAATTTGTTCATTGATCTTAAAAACAAATTGGTACTCACTTTTGCCATTGTACCATCTGTCTTTCCTCAGTGTGGCTATTGTGCAGCGCTTGGTAGGAGACTCCGTCAAGATTTTCCGGAGTAATGCTGAAAAAAAGACAAACAAGAGATGAACGAGATGTGCTTAAAATACTAGGATATCACTGTCAGTACAGGTCACAGAAATAAATAATACATTTGTAATGCATATACAGGGTGAGTAAAAAAAAAAAAAACCAAATGTCGGGACTATTGTTTTAGTGAAGTTCTGCATGTAGCACTTTCACAATCTGGGATATGAAAGTCCATAAGCTTTCTTTTAGTACAAGAATTACTCAAATAACTCATGTACTTTTCAAGTTACGGAATTTTGAACACAACCACTGTGCGTTCTTTCAGCAAAACGAAAACAATTCAAGCACATCCCTTTGTGATTTGTTTTTCGTTTTGCTGCACCTTTTTGTGATCAGTGGCCAGAACTTTAAAACGGTGGTTGTGTTAAAATTCCATAACTTGAATATTACACGAGTGATTTGAATGATTCTTGTACTAAAAGAAAGCGTATGAATTGGGCTTTCACATACTAGATTTTGAAAGTGCTACATGCAGAAATTGACTACAACAATAGTCCGGATATTTTTTTTTCACCCTGTATAGCGCTTTCTATCGTAACAACAATCTCAAAGCGCTTTTCAAAGCACATTTCCACACTATACAAAGATAAAGAACAATTTTGTGCACTGGGAAGTAACAACAAAAGAGGAAATTCTAAGCTATACAAGACTTTATACCGTGTTTCTCACTTTTTAACAGCATAAATTTACAAACGAGAAAATCACCTGATCCGAGGAAAAGCTACATGCCTTTAAACAACAGAGCATGCAACCCAAAAGTCACACAACTAAAGAGGAAATACCAAGAATTACAAGTCTCTTTGCAGTCTTTTTACAAGGGAATCAGAAAGAGAGAAAATCACTTAATCCAAGGGAAAATTGCATGCCTGAAGCTAGCTAAGCAACATTCTGACTTCTAGACTGGTTTCTTCAATTTTTAATTTTAACAGAAGGACCAAAATCCAGCCTATTTTGTCTTGTTGAGGCATGCAACCTTCGTCAGTTAGTCCATGGAGCCCATACAGTAACAACAGTAATGGAGGTATTTTTTTTAAAGCTCAATCTCCACCTCAATGTAGTTCAATTTTTTGCGAAGGCAAAAGCTTTGATCTGTTGCCTTTTGTATCAAAGGGGAACATTATGGAAATATTTCCAAAGATTGAGGTTGAGTTTGAGACAAAGATGGACCTTGGAAAATAGCACCCAAACCCACCTAATGGCAAGGGATCAATCTTCTTCCATGGCGACAGGTGCATCTTCTTATCCAACCAATCACGGAATTCCTTACATTCGTATGTCGGTTCATCCCACGGCAGTTCTGTTACCAAAATAGAACACAAACAATTCACATGGGCAGCAACACGTGTGTCTCTTCAATGCTATACTATACACAAGGATATTAGTGGACACTTGATATTTTTTCCTGAAATTGGAGGTATAAATGAAAAGTATACACGTGTACATATATTTAAAAAAATATGTAGTTACAATTGAAAAAAAAAACACATCTAAAATCAGCTGAATTTGGAGGGTCTAATTTCCCCTCCTCTTACTTGCCCGCGAAAAAATAGGCCAATTATGAGAAAAACATGGCAAATATCTGCTAAGTGAGGCACGCAACTGGGAATTTAGACAAAAAAAACATGAGGGAATTCCAAACCATCAAAAACATTGTACAGTGTTTTTCAATCTGAAATGGCACTAATGAGAAGTATGCCCCCCCCCCCCCCACCTTCCTGGGAGATAAACTCCCCTCTTGATCCAAACCTGGATCCGCCCTTGGCCTAGGTTACATTGCAAATCAACTATTTACTTTTGGTCTTTGATCTAACTTGCTCTTGATGCAGAAGGACCGTGTGATTTTAGCTACAAACCTCCGCCCAGCATGGCCACTAGAATGATCCCACAGGACCAGACGTCGGCCGGCTCGGCAGGAAACTCCTCCTTCTTCATGACCTCTGGAGCGACGTAGGGAGGCGTCCCGCAACACTTGGCCATCAGACGCTCTTTGCCCTGGTGCCGGAAGACCGTGGCTAGACCAAAATCTGAGATCTTTAGGTTATCTGAACACAAGTTACAAAGACGAGAACATTAGACAACATCGGTATCCGGGAAAGAAAGTGTCATGTATCCGTATGATGATGACTGATACATGTAAGCATACGAGAGGTCGTGTTCAAATTAAAAGTTTGGCACTATGCCAATTTTATGCGTGTACGTACAGCTGCAGAGGAAGCAGAGTCATGATTTATGTCACAAAAAAGTGCGAAAAAACGCCATGAAAAAACTTCACTCTTAAGAGCTTCCAACTGCAATCAGACATATCTGGTACATTATTAAATTAAGAATGAGAGGTTGATATCATTATTAAATCGGAAGAAATTTTCAGCGAAAACACGGTCAATTCATAGGTACAGATCCCATGTCAATATAAAGCCAGTTTGGCATGCGCACAATGATATGGGACACGGGTCATTTGGGATAATCAAACACTCATCGAAGGCGCATGAATGCGCACAGCGACGGGCGCATGACGCTCGCGTGTTTATTACAAGCAGAATGGGCGTCCGCATAACATCGCATGTCATCACGTCAACGATTTTATCCCGAATGACCTTTGACTGCTTCATTGAGAAACCAAACTGGCTTATTGGCTTCCATACGTAGTTCCATTGCCATTTTGTCATATCACATATGAGAAGAACACAGAGTGATGATGTCACGCGTTGGGCCATCAATTCTGAGACAGTGGGAGCTAGCCCCATTGAACAAGTGCCTGTAATAGTGTGTGTTAACACTTGGAGAAGCTCATAACAACATTTCAAAGTACAACAAATTGTAAAAATCTCAAAAAATGTTCATCTTACCGTTATCATCCAGGAGTAAGTTTTCTGGCTTCAGATCTCGATGCGTCACACCCTTCTTGTGTAAATACTCAACGCCGGCCATCAGTTGAACAAAGTACCGATGGGCCTGCTTGCCTGGCATACCAATATCAGGCTCTGCAAGAGAAAACAAATTATTTCAATTTTATGGGTGAGTTCCCTCAACAATTGGGACCCAAACGCATAACACCAGCAGTTTCTGTTCATCCAAGGCAACAGGCTGTTTGTGATTTATGATAAAATATTCACGTTCTTGAAAATCATAATTAGTGTTTCAACCTGTAGTCCGCGGACCGCATGTGTCGCCATTTTCCACAGTCGATCCTTATATGTTTTGTGTTCTTAAAAAAGTCATATTTTGTGAATTTTTAAAAACAACGACCTCACATGATCCTTGCATGATCTTTGGCCTTCAATTTCAGAAGAGTTGTGATGAACCCACAAGGATCACTCCATCGAAGTTACATTAAAATCCATCAAATTCTGGGGAAAGGGGGTGCTGGGGGGATGAGGGGATGACATTTGACAGGTACAGAAAATGTCCAGAACACCCTACCAATTCTATCAAAGTGCTCTCCCCCACTGATATACTTCAGGAAAACCCTACTTATTCTATTAAAGAGCTCTCCCCCACTGATATACTCCAGGAAAACCCTACTTATTCTATTAAAGAGCTCTCCCCCTGCTCATGTACTCCAGGAAAACCCTACCAATTCTATCAAAGAGCTCTCCCCCACTGATATACTCCAGGAAAACCCTACTAATTCTATTAAAGAGCTCTCCCCCACTGATATACTCCAGGAAAACCCTACTAATTCTATTAAAGAGCTCTCCCCCACTGAAATACTCCAGGAAAACCCTACTACTTCTACTAAAGAGCTCTCCCCCACTGAAACACTCCAGGAAAACCTTACCAATTCTATCAAAGAGCTCTCCCCCACTGAAATACTCCAGGAAAACCCTACCAATTCTATTAAAGAGCTCTCCCCCCTGCTCATGTACTCCAGGAAATCCCCACCAATTATATCAAACAGAGCTCTCCCCCACTGAAACACTCCAGGAAAACCTTACCAATTCTATCAAAGAGCTCTCCCCCGCTCATGTACTCCAGGAAGAGATACTGAATGTTGCCTTCTTTGCGTTGGCCGTAGAAGCGAACAATGCGATCGTCGTTCATCATCCTGTGGACGCAGACCTGTAGAGGGCAGAGGGCAAAGATCAAAAGGTCACCAGCGAATACAAACAGAGACTGGACATGCTGAAGAACAAGACTGTATAGGTAGCAGACCAGTAAATAAACTTCCATAGACCCCAATGGTAAATGCTACCACTTCAAAAATTCGGGAAAAATACTCACAACTCTCCAAGGTGTTCGAGACGCACATCAAATTAAAGCTTATTTCATCATCTTTCATTTTCTTTTCAATTTTCGGGGGGTCAACTGATGACTTTTAGGGGAAATTTCCATCTGAAGATGATCACCCCTGAAAATAGTCCTGAAGCCCATCGCCATTTTGAAAAACGATGCCTACACTCTATTGCAAAATAGAGCGCTTTTAGGGTCCAAATTACATCAAAATTACACAGAACTGCAAGCTCCCAGTCCTGTGCACGGCTTCCAACCATATTTTTTACAAACCCTCAAGTTCATGGCCCAAAGCATGCCCAAATATCGAAGATTTTGAGGGCATGCAAATCGTGATTTGGCCGGCGCAGGCAATTTCGGACCGATTTACTGGTCTGCACCCGTATATGAGAACGGGAAAACACCTTTAGAGTTTTTGAAATCTTATTGGTTGCGAGCCTTGATGATTGTGATGTATTTCTAAAACTGAACACCGCCCTCTGTTGGTTAAAGTTGACCTTTCGGGGTTCACCAGCTTGTTCTGAAATGATCGTGTCTTGTGTGAAGTTACTCTAGTTTAACTAGACATTTGTGGCTGCTCGTCAGCGAATAACTTTACATGGTGTCAGAAAACGGATCATAAAAGTTGCAATGTCAGGCCTGAAACCACCGGGACAGTTGCAGCTGGAAGGGAACTTGGCGAAAAACTGGAAGGAATGGGTGCGTTCATTTGAACTGTACGCTATGGCAACGGAACTGCAGAAGAAACCGGAGCCAGTGCAGTGTGCAACGTTTCTGCACGTGGCGGGCCCAGCGGCACAGCGTGTATATGTGACACTGACGTTCGCGGACGATGAGAAGGACAAACTGCAAGTACTTAAAGCCAAGTTCAAACAATACTGTGAACCCAAGAGAAACCTGTCAGTACTGCGATACATGTTCAACTCGAGAAACCAGAAAGTGGATGAGCCGTTCGACACATACTTGACAAACGTGAAATGCCTGGTGAGGGAATGTGAATTTGGTGACATTGAGAATTCCCTCCTTCGAGACAGAGTTGTGTGTGTTGTAAAGGACACAAAAACACGAGAAAAACTGCTTCAGGAAGATAATTTGACTCTGGAAAAGTGCATCAATATCTGCCAGGTCAGTGAAATGAGCGCCACACATGTGAAAGCCCTACAGGCTGAACTGGATTTGACCCAACAAAGACAGGAGGTTAACCGGGTGACGTCCACTAAAGCCAGACTTCCGACCAGAGCTGCAAGTCGCAAGGAAATGTCAAATAACAACGCAGAAAATGGGACAAAGTCACGGTGTGACTTCTGTACTTACGTACACTTCACAAACCGCTGTCCTGCAAAGTATGAGCAGTGCAACTCGTGCCATAAAGTTGGACATTTCAGCAAATCGAGAATATGCAAAGCCCAACACAAGTCGCGACCAAAGATGGTCAGGGAAGTCAACGAAAGCAGTGATGACGATGAGGACAACACGCAGTATGATGTTGCCGGTGTCAACCTACAGGAACCAAGAAAACAACTCGAGGACCTGATGATAGACTACATCGCTGGACAAGAATCAGGCGACTGGACTGAAACCTGTCAAATTGGGAGAAACAAGGTGGACTTCAAGCTTGATTCAGGATCTCAAGCGGACATTCTACCAGAAGACTGTTTCAAAAACACTGGACTGGCATTGCTTCCCAGTAATGCATCTCTCAAATCCTATTCAGGGCACAAGATTAAGGCATTAGGAAAGACCATAGCCAATTTGAAGGTTGGTACAGGTACCGGTTGCACCACACAACAAGTTGTTTTTCAAGTGGTAAGCGGAAATGTAAAACCTATCTTAGGTCTGAAAACATGTCAAAGGCTAGGATTGATTAAGAGAGTAAGAGTAGATGAAGTGGTTAGTGGTAGTGCGCAAAATGTGCCAGTGCATAGCAACATCACGTTCACAGAACACAATGATTTGTATGAAGGGCTAGGGAAACTGCAAAACCACGAATATGAGATTGAATTGAATGTAGATGCCGCACCAGTTCAGAACCCTCCACGCACTATTCCTTACACATTGCGCGACAAAGTGAAGGCTGAATTAGAGCGTATGGAAAAACTAGGGGTCATTGCGCGTGTGGAAGAGCCCACAGACTGGGTCAGTTCCATGTCAATAGTTGGTAAACCGGATGGCAGTGTGCGCATTTGTCTTGACTCGCGAGAGCTCAATAATGCCATAAAGAGAGCCCATTACCCTATGCCCACCCTCCGAGATGTTGCAGCGCGCATGCCACAGGCTAAGGTGTTTTCAAAGTTTGACGCTACAAGTGGTTATTGGCAACTTCCTCTCACACAAAGAAGCTCGTACTTGACAACATTTAACACACCCTTTGGAAGATTTCGATATATGGTTCTACCATTCGGCATTTCGTCGGCAAGTGAAATTTGGCAGCGCGCCATGGTCACTGAATTTGGGGCACTTGAAGGGGTTGAAATTGTTGTCGATGATATCCTAGTTTGGGGGGAAAACACAACTGAGCATGATGAGCGAGTAGCTAAGTTCCTGGAAAAAGTCAGAGAATCAGGACTTAAACTCAATAGGAAAAAGTCTGTCATTGGCACAGACAAACTTGAATATGTGGGTCATGTGATTTCTGCAGAAGGACTCTCACCAAGTCCAGCGCGTATCCAGTCTGTATTGGAAATGCCAATCCCCACTAACAAACATGAGCTTGAAACCTTTCTCGGCATGATCACATACGTTAGTAAGTTCATTCCCAATCTTTCTGAAATCACTGCGCCGTTGCGACAGCTTACCGAAAAGCAAATAGCTTGGCACTGGGATGAAAAACACACAAAAGCCGTGGAAACACTCAAGCATATTATAACATCAGCGCCAGTACTGATCTGATGTTATATGATGTGAATAAGCCGGTCAGCTTGGCCACTGATGCATCCAAGCATGGGTTTGGATCTGTATTGATGCAAGATAATAACAGACCAGTGGCATATGCATCGCGTAGTACTAGTCCTGCTGAAAAAAATTACGCGACTATTGAAAAGGAGATGTGCGCCATTCTCTTTGCGTGCCACAAATTCCATGACTATATCTTTGGAAAACAGACAACAGTGATCACAGATCATAAGCCATTGGTAGGAGTGTTCCAAAAGCCATTGCATAAGTTGAGCCCACGATTGCAGCGTATGCGCATGCACCTACTGAGATATGACCTCAGTGTACAATGGCAACCAGATAACACAATGTTTGTGCCAGATGCGTTAAGCCGCATAATAAATAGCAGAGGCGACAACATCTCAGAGTTTGATGACTCGCGGGAAATCAACATGATTATAAGACAACTCCCAATTACTGAGTTACGATTGCAGCAATTCCGTGAAGAAACAGCCGCGGACCCCACACTTGCGAAGGTTAAAGGTCACATTATGAATGGCTGGCCTGTTGATAAACACCACTTGACAAGTGATGTTGGCCCATACTATGCAGTCCACAATGAATTAGTGTTCTGTGATGGCATTCTTTTTCTTGGCAACCGGGTTGTAGTTCCGCGAAGCATGCAGAAGGACATGCTTAAGAAAATCCATGAGTCTCACCTAGGGATAGTGAAACTCAAACAGAGAGCACGAGCCATCTTATACTGGCCGGGCATGAATTCGCAAATTGAAGACACGGTAGCCAAGTGTGCTATCTGTCAGTCAAGTAGGAAAACTCAACCTGCTGAACCAATGATACAACATGACATACCTGACAGACCATGGTCTAAACTAGGTGCAGATGTGTTCCACTTAGGAGGAGTGAACTATCTGCTTGTAGTTGACTACTACTCCAAATTTCCAGAAGTACAGGCCTTGCAAGATCTCACAGCCCATTCGGTCATACATGAATTGAAAATTATATTTGCCCGCTCCGGTACACCAGATCTGTTGATTACTGATAATGCAAGCCAATTTGTATGCGAAGACTTCAGAACTTTCCAAAACATGTGGGAGTTCAGGCATGTCACGTCTAGCCCCAGGTACCCACAAAGCAACGGGCAAGCCGAGCGCTGTATTCAAACAGTGAAAACACTCATGAAAAAGGCTAAGGTGTCTGGCAGGGACCCTTATATGGCTCTGCTGGAATATCGCAACACACCCCTCGATGGCACAGAGGGTTATGCACCAGCACAATTACTCAATAGTCGCTTGCTCAAAAGCCGACTTCCCACTTCATCGACTCTTTTGCAACCACAAGTAGTCCCAGCCATGAAAGCCAAACTCAAAGAGAGACAGACTGTGCAAAAACACTACTATGACGCAAAATGTAGTAAGCCAAAGCGCACACTACACACTGGAGAACAAGTTAGATTCCAAAATCCGCACAGCCAATGGGTGTTAGGGAAGGTGACAGAAAAACATGATAACCCTAGAAGCTATATGGTTGCGACACCAACTGGACAGGTGTATAGAAGAAATAGGCGTCACATTGTTCACTCCAAAGAACATGCTGACATTGAAGGGAATTCATTGTCTCAGCCCAACCTAGTCTCTGCTAGCACACAGAATGAAAATATCCATCAGACTGCAGAACCTGAAGAACCAAGTGAGACAAAACAACATAGTGTAAAATATGATAGCGTGACTGTAGGTCAGACTACTACTACTAGAAGTGGCAGGGTAGTAAGACCAACTCAAAAACTTGACCTGTAAGCTGAAGTTGTACACCAAATTGCATGGACAGTAAATAACAGATTTGTGGTTTTTTCAAGATGGTCTAAATTCATGTACAAACGCTTGTGCTTTTTTCAAATTTGCTTTATTTGCTTTATTCAAACACCTTCCATAGTTCTCTAATCCTCCCTTTTGTAAATCACATTTTGCAGTATTCCCTTATAAAGTTCAGTAACACTTTGCTCAAGCTTATTGTTTGTTTCCTACATGTACATGTAAGTTCCCAAAGTTCAACTTGTTTAATGTTTACTTAATTTGTATGGGGGAGATGTGATGTATTTCTAAAACTGAACACCGCCCTCTGTTGGTTACATTAAAGTTGACCTTTCGGGGTTCACCAGCTTGTTCTGAAATGATCGTGTCTTGTGTGAAGTTACTCTAGTTTAACTAGACATTTGTGGCTGCTCGTCAGCGAATAACTTTACAATGATGCATACTTCTATACGGTCTGACTGGCCTACTCCAGCACACCATGGAGGAAGGAATTAATTCCTTCCTCCATGAGCACACTAACACCTCACAATGCATCTAGTGCCCTATTCGTTCACACAGTTATATTTAAATTAGATTGACCCCATGTCACTAGTCAATCAGCTTACTTTGCTCTGCCCAGACTCAGACTCCATGTCTGCCGTGGGAGATACCGAGACAGGTGTAAGACCCAATACACCCTGCACTTTCAATTCGTAATCCCTCCTCGCCGGCTGATAGCTATAGCCACGGCTTGAGGAAAGGCTATGTGCCGGAAGACAGCTAGAGCTGCATTCCCGAACGTACACATTTCATTCATCATGCAATTGCACTTGATACAAGATTTGCATTGAATGGTGTATTTTCTATAAGGGAAAGTTGGGTGAACTTTCCTTAGTCATGAAAAGTAAAATCTATTTAGTGACACCACTTACTGTTCTGGGTTGAATAAAACAAATTCGAGAACAGTACACAGACTTTTGTTCAGTGTAAGTGCGCTCATTATTGATGGCTACGCTCGGCTGATCAAACTGGGCTACCTGTACAACACGAATGCGCCCTCAGTGTGAATACCAGCGGGCCGGCAAGATATCGAAAAAAGTATAACATCCTAGACAGGTTAAAGTGTAAACTAATTTTAACGGAACACAAAAAACAGTCTGGATATTTACAGTTGTTGTACAGTTAATCACAAGTCAGTCACAAGTCCATCATACGTCCAGCAACATGTAGATCACAAGTCACTTTAACATTCTGGTGACAAGCAACCGTGAGTGAATGCAAGCGCGAGTGAATAAGTTACAACCGAATGCGCTAACCACGGTGATTTAGCTGTGACTGAATGACTTGTGATTGACCTGGGAGACTAGGTAAGGACTTGTGATGCACTCATCAACTACAAGACTTCTGGCGATGGGATTTACAGGTACCTCTTTGCGGACATTCTCTATGGCCCCTTTGGCTTTGTCCAGACTGAGTATCTTGACAGCTACAGCCTCCTGTGTGCTACGATTGACCGCAAGCTTCACCCTGGGGAGACGCAACACAATAAGCATTATCCATTAAATGCAAACATACAATTTTGCTAAATTTTACCTCGTACTCTGAATCTGCTGCGACTGTGCGAGCATGGTGCGAGGAATAATTTATGGATTTATAAAAGAAATAACAGTAAACACTATCCGGTCTCGATTCAACAAACTTTATTCTTATTCTCACTCACTGGTAAATATATGCATGAAACGAGTATTTTGGTGGCTAAAAAAGTTACATGCACGTCGTGCATGCTCAGTAAAATAGCTACGTGCACAAGCAAAAATCTACATGCACTGGTGCATGCGTGCACCCGGGTAAATCAAGCCCTGCACTGATCGTATGTCTAGATTCTTGCATATGTCTTCACATTCACAAATTGACATACTATAAGTTATCCTGCAAGCGCGAGTGGAATACGGAATAATATAGTGCGTCTGGGAAAGATTTCCATATACGAAGTTCACTAATTTTCCTCTGTATTGACTAACAAGCCCCCAGATAGCAATTTCATGTCATCAAAGTCAATTTGAGCAGAGAGAAAATACAAGCATTTTCTTAGAAAACACTTAAAAAATTTCAGTCCAATCTCATAGGGTTTGTACACAGGGTGTTGAGTGAACTTCGTATATGGAAATCTTTCCTGCGTCTGTGTCCCACAAACCACGAGGCCGAAGTCCGAGTGGTATGTGGAACACAGATGCACTATATTCCGTATTCCATGAGCGTGAGCCTGATAACGAATTTATCTTCAAGCAAACTTGACGCACAATAAAGATGAAACGCATGCTGTACACAAACTTCAGCGCCTTATCCTATACACGTTTGTGTTTGTACAGAATGGCGCGCGCATCTTGGAATAGCGCAACACGTGGAGTGCGGTATGGACCGTGGCCGTGCTAGTACATGGTTACATGTAGAACACAGACGCACTACATTATTCCGTGTTCCACGAGCGCGAGCGCAGAAAAACATGGTTATATGTAGCACGACTTGTTGCCATGGATCGACCAATCAGGATCAAGGATTCAAGTTTACTTGAAGATAAATGTCCTTATGCCTTCACAATTTACAGGCATGGTATGTAAAGCACCATGGTGAGATATTGAAGACATACTTTCCATGCAGAGACACTGCAAAACTTTCCTTTTTTGAAAGATTTAAATACAATATACAATTATTACAAATGAAAAAAAAAAGATTATGAAAATATGAAACGCGAACAGTGCAGTTCCTGACTTACTCTCCGTATGCCCCCTCCCCCAGTGTCTGCACAAAGTCCCAGCCTTCCACAAATGGAGTCACCATCTTGGACTAATTATGTCTGCAGAAAAAAAATAGTATCAAATGGGCAGAAATGGCACTTGCGCGGAAGGTCAATCCTGTAAATAATCTGTATACATGGTATTGGTATAGGGAATCTCAGACGTTACTTTCCCTTTTTCAAAACAATCCTCCAGCGTGTCCTGAGCCAGAGCCTTGAAGTTGAATTAAACAATTGGAATTGTTCAGACCAGTCTCATAGGTTTGTGCACGGGGTGTCAAGTGATGTCTAGGTATGAAATTTGATTTGTTTTTACTTACAAAAATATCAACTCATCGTCGACATGATTCATGTTGTGATTGACGAAATACATAAATCCCGCGGCAAGCATGCAAGTGCCGCATGCATGTTGTTATTGGACCGCTACATTTTACATACTGGAAAAAAAGGGAATTATGGGAATTCAATTTTCTTTAAAAATATCAGTTACTAATATGAAATGAACATTAGAGAAAATAATGAAATATAAAATGACTTACACTTTCTTTCAAAAGAGAATGCACTTTAAAAGTATGTAATAAGACTTTTTTTCTAAAAGCGTGAACCTCCTGTCACAGAATAGAATAGTCCTTCATAGTCAAATACCTGTCGTCATGTTAACTCTCTCTCCACTAACTTACGTACATTTATAATAATCGGAGTCCAGTTACAAGACACGTTCGTTTGAGTATTTTTATATCTATTGCTGTCAACCTCGTCCCCAGTTCTTACTTTATTTTCAACCGCATTTCCAATAGTAAACCCTGGATAGGAAACTTTCTTCCTGTATCCTGATTGGATACCGCAATTGGCTAGTAATGGATTTTTATCGTGTACTTGGTGCTATATATTCACAACGTGCAGTACGTATTTTAATTCGCGATTATTCGTCCACGCCTTCTCAAAAATACTAATTTCCTTTCCAAGTTGCTCATATTAATATGAAATATGATACTGAATGTTGTCTCGATAAGATCGTAACAGTTTAATTTCAAAAATCGTGTTTTCGTAACTCACGCCGTGCTCGCGCTGCTACGAATTGACTTTGTTTTTACCCCAGACACCGCATACAAAAACAAACGCTAATGTGTAACGCATATCCAGGCACCAGACTGTTCCTCATTTGCATACGTGTGCAAAAATCTTGCACATGCAAATGATCCAATACCAGGGTGAGAGAGCAGGTAGTGGTGGGCGCGTTCTACTCGACACCCTGGGCACGAGGTTGTTTTCATATCTATTGCTGTCTAATTATTGAAAGGTTTGTTGCCATTGAGAGGGCGCTCTTCACAATATCTGTAGATTAAGAGTACAGTTGTAGACATGAGGGCGGTATCACTGCACTAAGGTGTGCATCAGTAATAACAATATTTTAAAAAAGGGAAAAAAATAAGTCTGGTTGTTTGTTGGATTATTTACATTAAAAGGGTCTATGAGATGAATCACCACAGCAAAGAAAAACGTACAAAAGCAAATTATCCAAAATGCGGACGACTGTTTGTGCTGAAATGGCAGTAACATTGAGGCTTTGATCTGCCCAGAATGACATCACACTTTTGCTCCTAGATATGAACATTTTCATGATGAGCATAAAAAACCCCGAAAATTGAAAATAAGGTGAAATGGGACACAAAAGTGCATTTTCAAGGAGTACCTTAAAAAAACAATTATTTGTTAAGGCCCTGTAAATTATCTGATGCGCGATATGCGGACAGCCTTTTACTTATTTATATCTTGGGGGGGGGGGGGGGGGGGGAGTCCCGCGGGCGGAAGGGGGGGGGGGGGGGGGACTCCAAGTGTCATGTAACGGAACCGGCCGAGAGCTCCATGACGATCGAACTGAATCTGCGTGTCCTTTTATACTCAGCACACTTTACGCGACCCTCAGCTGCGCGAAGTAGAGTTGAATTTAAAAAACTGTGACCCAGTCTTAACGGCTGTCTATTGCTCGATTGCTGTCAGCACCAGGGCCTACCCCCCCCCCTAAAAAAATGGTCGTCACTGTCCCCTCCCCACCTGTCGCCCCCACTGGAAATTTGGCAACCGCAGAAAAAGTACAGTCCAATAAGTGACCAGGATTAGCGCACGCAACATAAAATGCCATTTGGCACGAGTCCTATTCGCTCTATTTTTTTTTTTTACGAAAAGCCTGTTTTCGCGAGTGGCCTTTTATTTTAACGTCCCGTAGAAATTTAGCGACACCTTTAAACTTTGAGAATGGCTTGTTATTCTACATGTATTTCATTTTCAATGGAGAAATCTTCGATGGCCCTATAGCCAAATATCTTTCTCGTGACATACTCTGATTGTGCGCCAATACCATGCTTGCATGCCCCACTAATATTACCAGACGTTTGGCTGTGGTTATAATGTGTGCTATGTGGTTGTTCACCTAACCAGTCTTTCTTTCAAGAACGACGTCAAGGGACAGTTGTTGAAACTTTTGCCCATATAACGACATTTTCGATTCAAAATAATATAAAAAAAATCACTCCAAACAACATAACGTTTCATGCGACATCTTTAATCTACGATAATTCAGCGTGAAAGAGAAGATCAGTCATGCAAGATGACAACAAAAATTAAACCAAAGAAAATAAGATTAAACAAACTTAAAAAATGACAAAACAAAAAGTAAAATGCACAAGTTAAGAAAAGAAAATGAAATTGTTTTGAGAGCTTGCAATCGAGGCTAACGATGAAGGGAAATGTAAAATTTTCAATTTCAAATTTCACGAAATCAATTCAACATTTTCTGTCATCGTTACAGTGATAATTTGTTGGTGGGAACGTCAAGCACCGTCAATTAACATCAATTCTTATGAATCGCGTTCAAAAGATTAACCCTAGTTTAGTCTGTGCCATGTAAAATTAACTGGATTTGTTTTATTTAAGGAAGCAATTTGCTTTGAATAAGTCCATCAACATCTCAGCTTTTGAGTTTTCTTGTTGTACTTTGACGTCATGAACAAGAAATGTTATAGAAACTGCAAAAGGAATATCCTGGAGATAATTTCAACAAGAAATTAAGAAAAAAATGAACATTAAACAGCCAAAAAAAAAGATATAAATTAAACAGTAAATGAATTAAAAATGACGAATAAGGTGTCCAGTAAAGTCAGCTTGCTATTTCTGTTGGAGTCAGTAACATGAGGAATCGTATTTTGAATTGAATGATTCTTTGTGCGTTGTAGTTCTGAGACACATCACAGTTCGTTGGTTCCTTGCTTTATGGAGATAATGTCATTGGTGTTCAAGGTAAGAGTAGATCATTTGCAGCTATCCAGAAGGTAACGGACACGTATGACCAAATTAATGTTGAAAAGCGTACTTTGCATAAAGATAGTAATGGCACTCTTTCGGGCATACTGCAGTCATCTTGAATACAAATGTAAAAGAAAGTCATTTCCAAAGATGCGTCTCAAGACGTATTTTTGGAAATATCCGTTAGCAGTTAGTTTGTAATCTGACGAAGTGCGCAGTGTGTGATATCGCGTAGCTGCAATCGGTTGAATGAGAACGTGTCCCGAACGTTGATTTTAGGCCAAAATATGACTCGGCAACTGTTTGAAACCAAGATCCTAGAGAATTGTTTTCTCGGAATAAGCATCATTCACAGCTCTAAAAATTTCACCAGGTTAGTTTAGTTGTTAGGCTCCGTCTTAACATTTTCAACACCTTTATTGCTTTAAACGAAACCAAATGCACAAAATGAATATTTGATTTACCCTATCTTTACAACAGCTGATTAGTTCACCGTTGCGTTTGGTCTTCGTCCATACTTCTCAATATTAAACCTGGACACCTGGTAAAACAAGCAAAGGCTAAATACTAAATGTTAAACTCGAATCACGCAGGTTCGTAAACGTTGAAGCCACAAAGATGCAAAGTGGGTTAAAGTCTTAAAACGATCTTAAAACCTTTAAGTGATTCTGTTTGTGAGTGTTAGTTTGGTGAGACAGTTTGGTGAGATCATAGCCGATGCCATCGATTGCGAGGGCTTTGCAGGTTTGGTGTGGCATCATGTTCTGACGCATCTCCGTGGTCATCCATTGCGGGGTCGATTTAATTTGTAGTTGACATCTTGCACATGTAGGCGAACGCTCTGTTGCATGCGATGTCATTCCATCTGTCATCGCCATCTAGCTCATGCCGCATGTGAGCACAGTCCTCGTTTTGATAGTTGTCGGGCTGGGTTGTAGCCCAGTCGGTGAAGGTAACCGCTGATCCGTCCGTCCAGATGAACTTCCCTTCCTCTGCCTGGTCATTCAAGCCGATCCACAGGCCGCCTGTTGTAGTTGTACGGACCGACTTCCACATCGTCAGGAGCAGATTATTCTCCTCGGCGCTGGCTATGGACGCAAGGTGACCCTGGCCGACTTCAGTGAACTCCTGGCAGTGGCTCTCAGCTTCATCATAGGTCTTGCCAGTGCCGAAGTACCGGTAGCAGTTGCCATTGTAGAAAGTCCACATCGGTGGACACTTAGGTGGGCACTTCGACGAGCAGTCTGGTTGACATGCCGCGGCAAAACCCACCAACAGGACAAAACACCAGACTCGAACGAAAGCCATGCTGTTTACAAGTTGTCTTCCTTCACCGTTGACTGTCACAAGCCAAAATGCAGGTGCAGAGTGAAGCTAACAGATGCGTTGGCACCCTTTATAAACCCTCGGTTGGTCCCGGTTTGGTATAATAAGGCTTCAGTGTCTTCGAGCGTCACATGGAGCGTTTTGATTGGCCAATGAAGGTTGGAGGTGTGGCCATCAGGGCCATCTTTACCCAGAAGAAACAAATGTTTAACATGTATCATTACTATACCTCATACATATTCATGATCGAGAGCCGAACTGTCACTGGTCAATTCACCATCACTTGCCAGATGTTATTCTTGCTGTTTACCAAACGCGCGCGCGAGGATTCACGCACAGGGTAAATACGCATGCGTAGTAGACTGTCGCATGGGTTACCCGTGCGACAGTCTACTACGCATGCCCTTTACAGAGCAATCGAGGAACTGTCGCACGGGTGAAGTACGCACGCGCGAACATCGCCCAGGAGAGACGCATGGTTGCACGGTTCGCGTAAATGTTAATTTCCAGAGCTCAATGATGCCATACTGGAAGAAAAAAATTATGGACTGTGTAAAAATGTCTCCTGTACAAAAGACAGTTGTACACAAACAACTGTATTTACAACTGTAGTAACTGTATTATATTGCAAACGAACCAAACTAGTAATTGACGTTGAGCAACAATATTCTTTTGGTGAGCTGTACAATTTTATTTCTTTAAATATATAACATTGTTACCTTAACAGGTACAACACTTTTACGCCGCAACGGGGTATCAAAGCGCTTTATTACTACTATTACTGTAATAGCCTGAGGGCGACAGGTTTTGCGAACTCCGTCCACAATAGGGCGATACACCTTATTGAGGCGACAAAATAACTGTCGCCCTTTTATGAAAACGACCCTTAGGACAAGGAATTTTGCTGTCGCTAACCATCTAGATCGATTCCTCATGGTCTAATTAGTATAAATACTAAATTTCGTGGAAAAAAAACATAAGGTAAACTTGGGTTAGGTGACAGTTAAGGTTTGTGCACAAGTCTATGGGAAAGTCACCCTATTGGGGCGAAAAGATTAATTATTACAATTATTATTATTATCCCTGTTTCAACCGGCAAACACTCCTGAAACCTTCTCAGCTCCCTGGGGAGTATACAGCTCGATGCTGCCTGTTAGGCGCAAGGAAGCTAAATCATCCATGCACAATAACCATCTCTGCCCTCACAGGTACCCATTTACTCCTGGGTGGAGAGAAGCAATGAGTGACAAAGCGCCTTGCCCAAGCACCCTAGACAAACGCTTCAAACGCTTTGAATTAAAATAAAAGGAAAAGTCAAGTCTTCTGGGTTTTTTTTGAAACACCAATGGCGATTTTTGTCCGTTTTCCTTTGCAATATTAATTAATTGCTGATTAATGTGCGAAAACGTCACTTTTTCGTTGTATTTAATCCGCCCTCAAATAAGAAGATCGCCAGACGAGTCAAAATTATTGAGATAACGCATGCTTTGTTTCCTCGTATTCTTTCTCTCTCTCTCTTCACTGCCTGTTAAAGTGGCGCATGACACACAGTAGTCACTAGTCGTGTCATTCTCCCTGTTTAACCAAAATCATGCCTTAAAAATTGGCAAAATGAAAGTAAAATGATAGGGTTAAATGGGACACAGCGGTGTCTTTTTCAAGGACTGCATTAACAACAGTTTAAATACAACGAAAGTCAAACTAAATTCCAAACGCTATCGGTAATGAATATGTAATTGATATGATAATATTGCCGCATCAATTCACTCGGTAACGACAGGACAAACACATCATTCATTATTTATAGGTAGGGTAACTTTAAAATGATACTAACTGGTATTATTTTTGTTTTAAATATTGCTCAAACTTGTTGAAATAAAAACCATATGAAACCCCACAAAAATAACTTGCGATATCGGTAACGAATACGAGAAGGCTATTGTTGTATCAGTTGAAATTAACCATATGTCATTTGGTACATTGATTCAACTTAAACGTAGACGTAACAGCTTGTGTTGCATCTATTTCCCTAGAATGTTTAGACTATATTTCGTCACCGAATACAATTCCACATGGCTGGAAGTTATTGGTGCCCCCTTTTGCACGCACGTTTTCAGCAGACAACACATCAGCTTACAATCATATGAAGAGAACATCTTATTTAAAAATTAAAAACAACATTTGTTTTTCTTGTCCATGAATTATCAGGAAGAGGAGGTGCAATTATTGACCGATCGTGTCCTGATTGAATTAAGTGAAGACAATAAGTCTGCAGGTACAAACACGCATATATCCAATCAAGAAACAGAGAATTGGCAGTTTTTGAATTAAGTTTGGATTTCAAGACAGCTATTTCTCTGGAGCTGAGTATGTTCTTAACATAATAATTGTTAGCTTGTGTTGGGGCAAACTAGAAAATAGTAATGTTTCAAAATGATGTTAGTCGTCTTTAGTTTCAGAAGATGATATTTTTTTAAGATTGATCATCCAGCTTGAATGATTCGACATTGGAAGATAGATGAAAGATTGGAAGCTAGACAATAACTATTAAAAACACAGATGCAGTACGCATTTTGTAATGGAGATTTGTAATCGTTCGTGTCTTACTTGTTTGTCTTCCAGGCAGTTTCTAGGCCGTTCAATATTATTGGTAAGCCGGCTGCAGAAAGCACACCCATAGCAGCCGAAGGTTTTCAGTGGTACGCTGTAGACGGCGCTTCGTTAGACTTAAAGACAAGATGTTAGATTGTCGTATTTTGTCCGTGAACTTCAGTCGAACTCCATCCATGGCATAGGCGCGGCGCGGCTGGAAAAATACTTGTACGTAATTGACCGGGTTGTGACAATTCTAACGAATCGACGATTATGATCTCGCACCGTTATTCATATATGCAAGCAGTGCAATACATATGCAGTGCATTTTCGCGGTGAGATCCAATCGCGCACCGCTATGCAAAAGATGACTCGTACATGGGGAGTTCTTCTCAATACGTCAGGGACATGTATCAGACTACACTGTGAAAAAGAAATCGTGTACGAAAACCCACTTTGCATCTTCGTGTCTTGGTCGTTACGAACCTGCATGCTTTCAAGTTTCAGTAGTAGTGTTTAGCCTTTGCTCGTTTCACCATGTACGCAAGACTATGACAACTTACCACCCAGTCTAGCACTTTCTTCAACAAAAGGCGCGCATTGTTCGTACGGAGGCGCGGTAAGATAATCAACTTTGTTATATGTGAGTCAACGAGTTGGGGGACTGGACACTGTGAATGGGACTGGCAAACATCCGACCAGGAATGAGGCGATCATGTACACTCATACAGCCATATTTGAGTCAAATGACTCGCTAGAGTCAGTGATCCCTTACTCTTATAAAGAGGAAGTTGACTATAATGTGGAGTCAATTTGACTCCCCTACCAGAGTCGTTGGTGTCAAATGACTCGTCAAACAGATTAAAATGGCTCCTTACTTGATATAAACAGTCAAGTGGACTTTAATAAAAGAGTCAAGAGACTCCCTTCCAAGAGTAGTTGGTGGCCGGCTTTGCGAATTTTCTTTTTTGTTGTTGATGGTGCGTAAAGCGCGTTGCTAACGCAGTCTGGTACTCTTCTACATTTAGATCGATACGGCTGGTCTCCAGCCTAAGGAGCTATGCTGGCCGCCATCTTGTCACTCTTGTTGCTTGCTATGCTCGGTTGGTGGAGTCAAGCTCTGAGAGGTTTCGTAAGTTAAGTTTCACAGCAATCACGAGTAACCAGATACAGTATTCGGCACGGCGCCTCCATTTTCACATCTTGGAAAAAGTCTTCAGAAAGAGTTTGAGAGCAAGTTTTTAAACTGAACTCACAGTGACGCGCCTTCTTGACACACTCAGTCACAAATACCTCAATATGTCGGGATGATATTTTGATGTGTGCAAAATCATCATGATTTTACAAACTTCAAAATGTCGTCGTTTTTGCTGGACGGCATTTTTTGCCTTGCAGGTAAATTGATTTCATTAAACAAGCTGCTTCCATGTTTTGCAATAATCATATATTTTCCATTGTGCATAATAATGGTCAGTTTTGAAGTGCTCCCCCATTTTGAAAATGGTACCAGCACCACCACCCCTCCCCGTTTTTGGAATTTACGGAGGCCAAGTGTCAGTAGAAAATTTAAAAAAAATTTGTCTACATTTCGGCTGGGATGTGCGGTTGCCCCCCCCCCCCCCACATCAAAAGCTGGATACACTACTACTTATTATGCAACGCAGTGACGACTACTGCGGCAAATGGAAACTGCCGTTTTGTTCAAATTGATACAGACGGTCCTATTTACATAACATCACCACGCCCCCATTGCTACGAAATGACCAAGACGAACTAGTGAGAGAACGTAAGAAATATCTTTGGCCAAGACGAGACCAAGGTATCTAACTGGTTTAAGGTGCATTATTGAGAAATACGTAGGGGATTGTTTTTGAAATGGAATGGTAATGGGGGGGGGGGGGGGGGGAGGGGTCCAACCCCGATCTGCAATAAGCTATATATGGACCTTTCTTTTGTTTGTAAACATTGACGCCATTTTATATGGGCTGCCACAAACACATAAATTGAAGCCGTGGTTTGCAACATATATTTCCCAAAAAGTCCTCATAACGCCATCAATATGTAGTAAAAAGGCATGTGCAGGAATTTAAAGCATTACTATCGCGGGGGAGTGTTAGTCCCACGGGGGGGGGGGGGGGTAGGCAAAGTGTCATCCGTTTAACGGAGCTGGACAGCGAGCTTTCCGACGAACTGAAATGCAATTTGTTTATTTGGCACACTTTACGCGACCCTGCGCTAAGTTACCACAGCTAGAGTTGAATGTAGAAACCGTGTTACAGTAATACATAAAGTGTTGACGGCCGTCGATTGTTCGATTGCAGTCGACATGTCAGCTCCAAGGCCCGCCCTCACCCCCATCCCAATAAACACTCGTCGGCTCCGCCCCCTCCCCTCAGTCGCCCTCACTGGATATATGGCAAACCACAGAAAAGTACCGTCCCACAAATCACCATGATAAGCGCATTCAATATAAAGGGCCT